GCTGTGTGTGCACCAAAACTTTTGAGATTGCTTCTGACTAGTGATTCAGTTTTTTTCTTGGTGGCTTTTTGTAAACTGTCCACAATAGAGACATTTTGTTTTTATAGTCATTAAAAAAGATACATGGGGGCACTTTCCTACTAAAGAAGACATGGGCACTGTGGTTACACATGAACTGAACAGGTGAAAAAGTGAATGCTACATTACTAGTCACCATTTCTGAAGATGGCAGTTTTATTTATTTATTTATTTCTATTGTTATGTTAATCACCACACATTACATCATTAGTTTTTGATGTAGTGTTCCATGATTCATTGTTTGCATATAACACCCAGTGCTCCATGCAGAACGTGCCCTCCTTAATATCCATCACCAGGCTAACCCATCCTCCCACACCCCTCCCCTCTAGAACCCTCAGTTTGTTTTACAGAGTCCATCGTGTCTCATGGTTCATGGAAGATGGCAGTTTCAAGGTACTGAAACACCACAGTGTGCCCAGAAAGGATGACCAAGAGAACAAAGCATCTTCAACCAGGTGTTGTGGTTAAAAAGGTGAAAGAACTAAGACTCTGAAACTCAGGGAAAGTCAATGGAGAATAAGGATGTTCAACCAACTCTACATAAACATCCTCAGAACTGCCCAAAAAAGGGATTCTATATAGGATAGGATGCTGGATTATAGGACTGAAAAGGTTTTTCTAAGATAGGATTCCAGAAGTAGAGAAAGTGGATGCTGTCTGAAATTCCTTTAAAACTATTAGGTAGAAATCAGTATCTGAAGTAAAAAGACTATATTTTCAGAAGAGTTCAATTTTTCACATCAGACCCAGGTACAGTGTAAGGAAGGGATCAGGAGGCCTTCACAAGTCTGTCTTTCAGTCCTGTTTTCAGCCTCAATCCACATCCCAAATTCAGAGGAATCTTTCCAGGGTTCTGTAGCATCCAACAGCTTGCCCCCAGTGCCCTTTCTTACACTGGGTTTTTGTTTGTATTTGTCCTTAAAAGAGTCAGGCATAAACTATGGAGAGAGCCCAGATGTCCATCAACTGATGAATGGATAAAGAAGATGTGGTGTATATATACAGTGGAATACTACTCAGCCATCAAAAAGAATGACATCTTGCCATTTGCAACAACATGGATGGAGCTAGAGACAGTTTTATACTAAGTGAAATAAGTCAGTCTGAGAAAGACAAAATACCACACGATCTCACTTATATGTGGAATTTAAGAAGGAAAACAGATGAACATAATGGGAAGGGGGAGGAGAAAGAGAGAGGGAAACAAACCATAGGAAACACTTAATAATAGAGAACAAACTGAGGGTTGATGGAGGTGGGTGGCAGATGGGCTAGATGGGTGATGGGCATTAAGGAGGACACTTGTGATGAGCACTGGGTGTTGTATGTAAGTGACGAATCACTGAATTCTACTCCAGAAACCAATACTTCACTGTATGTTAACTAAGCAAAATTTAGATAAATAAAACAGGCATAATTGAAGGAGAGCAACTCAGCAAGACCAATAAGCAGTTAAAAAGAAGTTAAAGATGAACTCTCAATAAGCTACTTAGCTATTAAAGTGTGTGAATTTCAGTTGATCTGGTACTGAAAAAGAGTGGGACACACGCTAAATAGCTATAAATACAATACATAAAGAAAAAACTACAGGAACAGAAAATTAGTCTCATTTTTACTGACTGCTTTTCCTCACCTCCCATGAATTGCTGTGGCGAAGTGAGAAAAACATGTGTTTGTTTGTTTTTAATTAACATATAATGTATTATTTGTATAATAATAAGGGGTATAAATCTGTGATTCATCAGTCTTATATAACACCCAGTGCTCATTACAACACATACCCTCCCCAATGCCCATCACTCAGCTACCCCATCCCGCCACCTCCCCCCCCTCCAGCAACCCTCAGTTTGTTTCCTATGATTAAGAGTCTCTTATGGAAAAACACAAGTTTTGAGGGCAGACATTCCTGGCTTTAAATCCCTGTCGAGATGCTCACTGGTCGGGTGACTTGTTGAACTTCTGAGCCTCAATTTTCTCATCTTACGGGTTAGTAACTATCATACTAATTGAGCTACTGTGATACTAGAATAAGCCAGCATACTACAGATACTTAATCGTGTCCTTCTCTTTATTATAATTTTAATAGAAATAATAGGATTATACTCTGATAGCTGTAATGGTGCAGCTGGTATTCTGTACCACGTTAATTTTACAAAATGAAAAAGGAACAAATCCTGGTGTCAAGTTTGTATATTCAAATACTATTTATTTTTTATTCCATTTTTGAAATTACTGAGACAATTTTCATTACAAGTACTTTTACTTTCAATTACAACTAAATGTTAACAGAACTATGAGTGATCCTCACCTAGTAAGTCTGACTGTTCAATTTCATCATATCTACAACTACAGTACTTCCTTCATAAGTTTTCTAGACAATGATTAGAGACTTGGAAGTGAGCAGCCTGCTAGTAAGTACCTTAGGCTTCTCTGTTATCTTATATGAGCGCTTCCATCCTTCAGAACCAGAGAAACGTGAAGTAAACACCTCGGTATGGTTCCAGTGTTTCTGTAGTTACTTCCTTTATCTTAGGGTAAACACTGTTTTATTCCTCAACTGTGGTCAAACTGACCAAAGTTCACAGACTTTTATTCATGGAATGGGCACAGATCCACAAGGAAAGTCAGATGAATATTTAAGGAGAGAGAGAGCATAGGGCTCAGAGGGCCACTTGACTTCTCCCCTGTCCTGAAGTCACTAAAAATCACCAGGCAGCTACCAGTCTTCTGAGAAGGTGCCCGAAACCGTTTCCACTACAAGAGCCTACACATTATTTTCCGGCACAAAAACCTGACACGAAATCACGCAGCTCCATATAAAATCTTTTTCTGAACCTGACAGGTAACATTTTCATAGAGCTCTCCTTTTTGTGGTACTGGAATTTACTTTTCTGAAAGGTGTAATTTTTGCTGTCAAGTTTATACTGTGTTCCGGCAGAAAGGTAATGAGACAGAACAGCTGTATTCATTCATGATACCAAGCATACATGAACCACACAAAGCTGTCCTCATGCAATGCTACAACACACTATTCTATAATTACTGCTTATACAACGGTGGTATATCATCAGTATAAGTCATCACAGAAAGGTAACATTTAAGCATCACAACCTAAACTCAAGGCTCTACTTTTGTGTAGTTTAATACCCAAACAAGCTGTTAGAACTCCAGTTCCCCCGGAATATAAAACATCACCTTCGAGAGTCCCAGGTCATGCCACGGTACGGCATCTTCTGATAGGGGATTAGAACAAAGAATCAACTGGGTCTTAAAAATAAACTAAGAACCCAAATTAGCAGACAGGATATAAATATTTTTGTACTACAGGACATAGATAGTCACTTTACTTAAATACTAAGTTACAAGATATAAACCTGGTTTTTAAAGACGAATATACATATATTGGGGGGGGGGAAGAAGAGCAGATACTTAAAAATCTTGCCAGTATTCATCAACAAGGCAAGATTTTCAGGGAGTAATTTCTTAAATGAATAATATGAAGTTTTAAAATTGAATACCAGATCATATCTGTATTCAAAGCTTTACTCTTAAAGCAACTATGTTAAGATAGTATGGCTGAAGGAAGAAATGCCATTTATTATAAAGTCCCTATAAATAAATACTTTAAAAATAAACACTAAAGTTCTCACTTCCTCCACTCTAACCAGTTTATTCCCGAACAATTAAATAATGAACAAGAAGGTGGTAATACCTCAAGTTAAAATTTCATTCCATTAATGCTCCAATTTTGTAATGAATTCTTGAGCTACCATTTTGCTTCAGTGAATATATCTAAGCTGAAGAAGCCTGAAGGGTTTTGCTAATACTATACACAAGATGGACAGGAGAGAGAGAGAAAAAGAAGGAACTTTCCATTTAACTTAAGTCTGATGTACCTTATTCTTATTTGTGATCTAAAAACAGAGTAATCATGATGGAATAAGATATCAGGACAACATGTACTTCTTTCATTTTTCCCCGTGAAAACAAGTGGGCTTCTGACAGGGCATGATATATTAACATGGCAGAACACCTAAAAGGCATAATATGGAGTTTAAAAAAAAAATGCAATAATTATTTAAAATTATTCAGTTTCCTCCATGGATAAATAGATTTCTCAACAAAAAAAAATCCCACTGATTAGTTTTAAGGTATAATTGTTTGCAGTAAACTCCACAAGTTTAGTATCCTCATATATGTATTTATAAAAATGCCACATATAGACATCACGGAAACCATGGCCTCCAGCCAACAAGTGATACAAGGTGTGTTGAAGTTCTGCAGAATCAGGAAAAGGATGCATATTTTTTAAAGCCGTATGAAGCATTATGACATTTTCAAAATCCACTGGGAAAATCAGCCATTTTAGATAAACCCATATAGTAGACATAGGATGAATTTTAACTTTCCACCGTTGGCTAGGGCTCACATATTTAGCTATATTAACTGCTTGCTGCAAAATGCACACACTAGCAGCAAGGGATGCCGAATTAGTTTTATGGAGCTGTACCATAAGAATTGGACTCATTATTCTAATAGCTGCCATGACTTTCCTGGTATTTTATATTTACCTTTTAATATAAACGCTGCCTCATATGAATGACTGTCTGGTATATTTCGCCTGATGGAGGATAAGACACAATATTATAAAATCCAAAGTCCCAGATTTCCATGCAACATTTTTTAATTTATTTGTTTTAGTTATTAGTTTGGTAATTATTACTTGGTAATATAAAGAAACTAATCATGCTTTCATTAGCATGTACTGCTTGAAGATTCCAATCAAACTGAAATTTAATTTCTGTTTTTTAGTAACATACCATCTGTATACCATGCAACACCGCAATGTACTCAAGCATGGAGGTAAAAATGATAAAGAAAAGCAGTGAAGGAAAAACATAAAATAAAGTTCCACCTACAGGGATTCCTCTGACTATTTTCGGTGAGTCCTGGAGATGACATGGATGTGAAAAGTGAACAAGTGAACCGAAGCTCAGTGCTGGTCAAGTGAACGCTCCAGTTACCAGGCAGCTCCCCTGATGTGCATCTTCTGAGATGGAGAACAAAGGGAGCGACAGGAACAGGTTTTTCCAAAGAGACTGTAGGAAGCCTGTTAGTTTTCTGCTGATGGCTTAAGCAGACATGTATCGGAATCTACTGCCTCTGTAAAAGCCAAATGCAAGCTCTCGGGGCTCTGGTGTGCAAAGATGTATGCACAGATCTGGGGCCGTACCAAATGCTGCTCAACAATGGGGGGTGGGGGCTGAAAATACACTCATTTCATGTGAATCTGTCCTTTAGGCACAAAGATATATTCATGATATGCCAAAAGAGAGAAGGAACCTCACTATCGGAGAGTAATAAAATGACGATTAAGAATATAGTTCATTTCAGAACACATAAGGTATCTTTAGATTTCCCCCACTGCATTTTTAACATAAATTTAGCCTAAAGCTGTCTTCAAATTCAGCAACACTAACCAGTGGCTTAGAGTGTGCTATGTGTTTTTAATAAGTATCTTAAATCATCACAATTCCAATAGTTATGAATGCTTGTCAGCCGTCTTCCTGTTTCAGAACAGTATGCTCGAAACCCCACTCCTTCCAGTCTACTCTGAGTCAGAGCTCTGCCAGCCCCCCTCCCTCATCTTCAGCCTCTCTGTCTCTACAGCCGCGTTTCCCTTTTCGTACAAATAGATTCAAGTTTCTCACACATTAAAAAAACATTCCTCGTCTGAACCTAACCCTCTCCTCTACCCTCTCCTTTCCTCTGGAGCCTTTGCTTTTGAAAGCACTGTATCTACTTCTCTCATTCATTCACATATTCAGGAACTGCCAATGTGCCAAGCACCCAGGTGATGGTGGTGAGCAAGGCAGAACATTCCCCTCATGCCCTGATCCTCCACCGTCCGGTCTCCACTCCCCCCTCACACGTGAACACCCCTGCTGCTGAAACCGTTCCTAGTACCAACCACCAATCGGCGTCCAACTGCCAGATTAAGCGACCCTTCTCTTTGCCCTCTCCACAACAGTAGGACGCTGCTTCTTGACATTTCCTGGAAATGTTCTGCTTAATTTTCAAACCCTCACCTCTGCGGCTGACCGTCCTCAGCCTCCACGATAAGCAACCACAGCTGACCCTTGAACAACAGGGGTTTGAAACGGCACAGATCCACTTACATGTGATTTTTTTTTCCAATAAGTACAGGACAGCACTGTAAATGTGTTTTTCTCTTCCTTATGATTTTCTTAATAACATTTTCTTTTCCCTAGCTTACTTTAAGAATTCAGTATATAATACATATACATATACCATACAAAATATGTGCGAATTGACTATGCTATTGGTAAGGCTTCCAGTCAACAGGCTACAGTAGTTAAGTTTTTGGAGAGTCGAAAGTTCTACACAGATTTTCAACCACACAGGGGGTCAGTGCCCCTATCGCCCGTATTGTCCAAGGGTCAACTGAAGTTCTCTTCTTCTCTCTGTCCGGTGAATGGTAGCGCTTCCTAGATTTCTATCCATGGTCATCTGTTTGTGGATTCTGCCTGCTCTCCAAGGCTTCCCCTCCTACCTATATGCACACTACTCCCAAGTATAGTTCAGATCTTTCTCCTAAGGTTCACGGGCCCACTGGACACTTCTACTTGTAATGTCTCACAGACACCTCAAATTTAGTATGATCAAGAGAGAATTCACTCAACAAGAATAACATATTTAGGGCTAAATTTAACAAAAGTCCAAGACTTATAGATGGAAAATAAAATACTGCTGAGAAAAATCGAAGAAGACCTAAAGAAATGGAGACACAGTTCTTGTTCATGGATTGGAAGACTCAATATTAAGACAGCAATTCTCACCAAATTGTTCTATAAATTCAACACAATCCCTTACCCAAACCCCGGCATTCTTTCTTTTTTAAAGAAACTGACAAAATGATCCTAAAATTTATATGGAACTCCTAAGGACCTGAAATAGTCAAACCAATTTTTAAAAAGATCAAAGTTAGAGTACTCATCCTTCCCAATTTCAAAACTTATTACAAAGCCACGGTAATCGAGGCAGTGTGGTGCTGACTAAAAGGAACAAAATTGAAAATCCAGAAATAAACGCTTATATTTATGGCCACTGTTTTGTTGCAAAGCTACCAAAGCAATTCGATGGGGGAAAAGAAAGTCCAATGGAAGAACCGTTTGGGGACAACCAGATACGGACATGTAAAAAAACAAAACAACAACAAAAAAACAACTTAGACTCTTACATCCCACAAACAGAAAAAATAACTCAAAAGGGATCATGGGAGAGAAAATGGATCACAGACCTAAATGTAAGAGTTAACGATAACAAGTGTTGGCAAGGAGGGGAGAAACTGGAACCCTCACACGTGGCTGGTGGGGATGGAAAACGTTGCAGACACTTTGGAAAAACAGTCACACAGCTTCTTAAAAAGTTCAATTTAAACTTATCCTAAGACCCAGAAACTCCAGCCTTAGCTATATACCCAAGAGAAATGAAAACATATGTCCCCACACAGACTTGCACGTGCAAGTTTATAGCAGCATTATCCATAACAGTCCCAAACTGGAAGCCATCCAAATGTCCATCAGCTGGTAAATGCATGAACAAAATGTAATGTATTCGTATGTGTAATATCAACTCGTCAATAAAAAAAGAACAATGTTACAACATGGATGAAGCCCCAAAATTTAAAACTAAGGGAAAGAATCCAGATGCAAAAAGACTACAAATTGTATGATTGCATTTATATGAAATGTCCAGAAAGGGTGAATTGATAGAGACAGACATTGATTACTGACGGCCTGGGCCTGGGAAGGCAAGCGGGTACTGAGCACAAACAGGCAGAAAGGAACCACTGTGTGGGATGGAGATGCCATAACACTCGATTGTGGTGATGGCTGCACAACTCTATAAATTTAGTAGGACTCAATGAAGTGTATACTTAAAGATGGAGGAATCTTCTCGTACACAAATCAAACCTCAATAAAACCGTTGTCGAAAACCATTTCTCAATCTACTGGATAAATGATAAAACCATTTCTCAATCTACTGGATACCATGTGAGGTTATGGGGAACTTGCCTGCAAAAGTGATACTTTTATCACCCCCCCCACCAAAAAAAACCCAGCCGAATTCACTACCATTCCCTCCCAAATCTGTTTTGACCTGTATCACATTGCTTGGTGCATGCAAAGAACCTATGTGTGCAAATGTCCTAGCCAGAAGTCTAAGAAGGAACCCCATGCAGTTAGAAAAGTCTTTTGATTCCACCCAGTGTCTTTCTCTCCAATCTACCACTACCTTCAATCCAAATCTTTCTCAGTTTTCCAACAAATCTCTTCCTCTAGATTTGCTCTCCAACCGATCTACGTGACACCAGAACACTTGCTCTATAATGCACATCTGATTCTACGACCATAATAAACCTTAGCGTTCTCCCACTCCTACCCTGTGTCTATCAGCTACAATAGAACCCTCCTCTAAGCTCCCTTACCATGGACTTCCACCATGAGTTAAAAACCTTTAACATGTAACCCAGATTTGTATATTTATATATCATATACATGAACTCCTGTACCAGTTTATTATATAATATACACAAAAACTGCAATCTAAAAGGGAGGCATAAAAAAGAAACAAGTGAAGCCCCAGGTTTCTTCTCTACTCCTATTATTCTGCATAGTCACATCCCTCCTTGGAGACCACTGGCCCAAAGGAAAAAGTCTAAACTCCTTTTTGTGACATTTGAGGCTGTGTATCATTTGTCCCTGCCTACATCTCAACTGCAGCCCTCACTGCTTCTGCCCCACACACCATATGCGTTAGCTGTTAACAAATTATTTGTAGTTCCCTCATTGAACAAGAAGTTAAATCTTAACTTGTGTTCTCGAAATAAACATCTCTGCATCTTTGCAATTGTTCTTTCCTCTTTCTGGAATGTCCTTATTACCCTTTCCAATCCGGTAAGCACTCCTCATTCAGATCCAGCTCAAGTGCCGCGGCCTCTCTCTAAGTAGTCCATTATTCCTGCCTTAGTGTGCTTATTTCTATTATAATATTTCTTACATTACATTAAACGTATGTATCTGCCTTTTTATCCTACCAGCTTTATCCCAGCGCTTTAGCTCCTTGAGGACAGAGAGCAGTTATATGATCCAACCTGAGTCTCCATCACTTCAATATTGCCAAATGGCAGCTGGACAGTCGTACCTTACATGTTAAGCTAACTCTTGGGTGGAATCTACAAACGCTACCCAAGTTTACCATCTACCATACATCATACATCCAGATTTATAGCATGCTAAGGCTGCCAAGCCAGAAGTATCTACAGTTCACATCCAAGAGTCATCCAAACACGTGAGACCCCCAGTGGCGTCAGAACTCTGATGCAGATAACCTCTACAATTTTATGACTTCTATTTTTACTCAAATTTTGCGATCGTCATCACTGGGAACTGTTCCACCGCTAAGATTTCAAACTCCCATCTTTGATCCCAAGATCTACCTCAACCATTGCCGTGCTCTCCACCTTTATGGTGCACACCATCCCCAGTGCCTCATAGCTTGCTTATTTTCCTGGTCTAGTCAGGCCTCTCCCTGCTAGCCTGAATTCCATGGCCAGGCATTTTAACCATGCTCTCACTGGCTTCCAAGATTACCACACTGCTGGTCCACTATATGCGTCCTCCCCATTCCCAGCATATTTGCTTCAGTTTTTATTTCTACTTCTGGGCCTAGCCCTGCAAAATTCAGACCATCTTACTCTAAATGGATTCTCAAAAAATTGTTTCTTCCCTCCATGTCAGCTTTTCCCCATATTACCAGGCATCTTTCCTTCTCTAAGGTTTCAGGGAAAGAGATGTCCCTGAATCCTTTCCAAGGATAATTCATCTGGATATCACTGCCTTCCATCTTCTCCAGGATCTTACTCAACTCCTTAATATCCTCAATTTCACCCTCTCCCTTGACCTTAACCCTGATTCTCTCCTGTTACTTTTTCATTTCTTTCCATTCATTCTTGAAAGAATACTGAGTTCACATCACCTTTGTATGCTAACTTCTCATAACACTTCTGATTTTCTGATTTGCAATCTGGATTCTCCCTTTACAAATAGCTCTTTCCGATTACCAATTACCAATTTGACAATCTGTCCACTGTCAAATCCAATGGG